ACTCCAGATTTATCAGTGTGGTGCACGATAGCTGTCCCTGTAGATCTCCCAAAATACCCAGTTTTTTTTCTCACCTCGTGCAGGTTTGCTCACCTGAAAGGCATAGTTCTGTTCTCAAGACATGAGGGTGTGTGTGTGTGTGTGTGTGTGCGTGTGTGCGTGTGTGTGTGTTAGGGGAGAAGACTGAGAAGGGGACGTGAATTGCTCTGGGATCCTCAGCCGCCCAGGGCAGGACCTAGGCACTTTTGGGCAGGACCCGCAGGCCCTGAGAACCTTTGTAAACATAGGTCACATCCATCTCTCAAGCATTGGGGTCTGGATCCCCAACTCCCTCCAGGCCTGACCTCCGTATTTGAACTGTGGTGGGAAGAGATGGAAGGGTGGAGGCTGAGGAGAGGGGACAGCGGCCTTGTTCCCGTGTGTGCCTGAGGGTGTTGGGCCTTCTAGTAATGGTAGCAGTCATGCCACTGAGCGCTTACTGCATGCCAGCTACGATTCTTAGCCCTTCACACGGTAGTTATCCTCTTGCTGGACTTTCTCAGTATCTCTACAGGGCTGTATTCTCCTTTTGGAGATGAGGAAATCTAGTCCCAGAGAGGTACAGTGACTTGTCCAAGGTCACACAGCTAGTAAGTGTCAGAGGTGGATCAACTGGGGCTCAGAGTACAGGGGGCAAGGAGGGGGCAGAGGCTGGGAGACAAGCTGCTATTATCACAACAGTCACTATGCTTATAACTAGTAGTTTACATGTTCCGAGCTGTTACTAGGTGCCAGACACAGTGATAAGAGCTTTACATGTAGTAACTCCTTTAAGTATCATGATAGATCTATTGTTAACTCCATTGCACGGATGAAAAACTGAAGCCCAGAGAGTATAAATCCTGCCAAAGATTCCACAGCTAGGAAGTGGATGGGGAGAGGATGCAGACTGGGAGAAAGGAGTGGAGGACAAGGTGCGGAGTCAAAGGGAGGATGGAGACAGGGCTTTGGAGAGGCTCCACGCTGGGAGAGGTGTGGCTGGTGCCTGCATCTGGGTAAACAGGGTTAAGGCCATGGGAAGTGGCCAGGCCTGAATCATCATGCCCCCACCTTTTGGCCCCATGGGGGTGACTAGGCTGAATCCTTGGCCGGCTTTGGTGCCCCCTGCCCTGTTGCCTAAACATGGGCACAGTGACCAGAGGGCGGGCATGTGTGGTGAGCTGAGGGCCCTAGGGGGTGTGGGCAGACACAGAGCTTGCCTGTGGCCATAGCTGTGGGGTGGCCATGGGGGCTGAGTCACAGAGCAAACATTCAGAGCCCATAGACACAAGAATGTCTGTCCAGCTCCCACCCAGGCCCCCTCCTCTGTGGCCACGGTGCTGACCTCTTTCTCTCAATTCTGCTGATGGGCGTGTCCAGAGGTGGCTGGGGGCAGTGTGCTAGCAGGATTTAGTAACCCTGACTCCCAGGGAGTCCAACTTCGCCCCAGATGCTCTGTCTGAAGTTGGCTTCCCACTCAGTAGCTCAGCTAGGCAGGCAGGCATAGGAAAGAGCACTGGCTTGGGACACCTGAGTCCTCCTCCAGCTTTTGTCCAGGGTGAGTAGCTCTCTGTTTCTCAGTTTCTTTGTCTGTAAAATGGGCCTGGCAGTAGCTAGCCTGCTGCCTCACTGCAGGCTGATTTGGAGAGCACATGGGATCATTCAGGGAAAGAAAGTCAGAAAATGCAAATGTGTCTATAAATTTGGGAAATCTTCTTAGTAATTACAAAATGATTCTGGCTACCCCTTCCCCTACTTGTGAGAGTCAGGGGAAAAACCCTCTCCTTCCCAGGAGCTCTTTGGTAACCTTGAGCCGAGCCTGGGAATGGAGCTGGATTTTGCTTCTTTGTGCCCAGATCAATGGGCAGCGTCTTTCCTTCCTTTTGCCCTTAAAACCCTGAAGGATGGTGCTGCCCTAGGCTCTGGATGCCTGCCCCTGGTTCCCTGCTCTCTTTCTGAGGTAGAATTACTCTTTCCATACATCCTCACGCTCTCTTGTCCTGAACCATATTGTCTGGAGCCTGTGTACACTCGTTTTGAACTAATTTTATACTAATCATTTTGCATGTAGAGATAGTCTTCTTACACAGAAAGGACAGTGACAGTGTCATATACCTTTCCACTGGCCACACCTCAAGGTCCTGGCCCCGTGCTAGGCTCCCGTGGGTACCCACTGCATTTTTGCCAGACCATCTGGATTGAATTCCCTAGTGCAATCCTTATATGTTGCCACCCTAATCCCCCGGCTTCCTAGGACTCACGTGTCACAGCTTCTGTGGGGACATCGAGGTCAGTGCTGTCCAAGGCCTGGGGGGCCCCAGGGCCATTGCCTTGGAGCATGGGGGGTGCCACTTCCTCCAGGGAGCCCTCCTCTAGCGCTGCCTCCGTAGGGTGAGTGGATCTTGTTCCTACCTCCAGCCCAGGCAGGAGGGATGGGGTCTGGGCTAGGGAAAAAGCAGACGACCAAGGTGTATTTTTCTGGTGCCCTCCCGCTTGTCCAGCCCTGGTTCCTTTCCCGCAGCCCGGAATGCCATGAGCCCTCACTCTTGGCATCTTTACTCTATCTGGCAACAGTGCCAGACTCCAAATAGAAAACTCCCAAACCACAACGCATGAGCAAGCAAGGGTGTGTGAATGTGTGCATGTGTGTGCCTATGCACATATGTGCACGCATGTGTGTGCGGTGTCAGGGAAGTGGGGAGAAGAGGCAGAAATACAGAGCAGGAGAGAACAGACAGGTGATCGGCGATGGAGAGGTAGGGACAGGCATCAAGAGTGACAGGGAGAGAGGAAGAATCCAAGGGATAATGAAAGGTAGAAACAAAGAGATAGAGTATCAGAAGGCGAGAGATTGGGCATGGAAGGAGAAAGCCCCAGAAACCCAGTGACAGACAGCCTGGGACAGGAGGAGACTCAGCAATAGAGTAAAAGTCAGAGATGAAGCGAGAGATACAGACAGGGTCAGAGACAGAGGCGAAGGAGAAGGGAGCGTGATACAGGCGGAGGAGCGAGAGGGAGACAGACAGCGAGAAACTGGGTCAGAGAGAGGATGATAGCAAGAGAAAGAGACAGAGAAAACCTGGCGTGAGGAGAAGGACGGGCCTAAGGTGGAGGGGCTATGAGCGGACGAGAGACAGAGAGACGGCCTGAGAGGCCTGGGAAGAGGCGGACCGGACCGCAGCCACATGTAATTACAGTGACTGGCCCAGCCCTCTGTGCGTGCTGGGGTGGACGGAAGGAAGGAACGGAGCCACCCTCAAACCCACAGCTCCTGAGGCAGCAGGACTCGGGGGCCCCTAGGCCCAGGGGAAGAAGGTTAGGGGGATGGGAGATAGAGGATGAAAATGTAAAGGGGTGCCAGCTCCCGCACCCTCAGTCACTGGGTACGGGGAGGCCTGAGGTGGGGCAGGGAGCAGGAGGGTGAAGAGAGGGGTCACAGGGCCAGACTGGGCAATTATGGGTGCATCCTGAGCCTCTCGTCAGACCCCAGGTTGTGCAGTCAGAATAAGAGGGGCCTTAAGAGGCCGCCTTCCACATGCCATATTGGGAGTATGGGAGACACAGAAACAAGAGACTCGGGGACACAGAGACCAAAAGGGTACAAGGAGGAGAGTGACACAGGGAGACCATGAAAGACGAAGAGAAAGGGCAGGGAAACCCAGAGCGTAAAAGATCCACAGCTACGCGAATGCGCCACACAGAGACCGAGAGGGAGACATACCCACAGGGACCGAGGGATCGGGAGACAAAGGCTAGCTCTGGAACTAGAAACAAATCAACCACGGAGAACAGAGGGGCTTATATTTGGGGGTCCTTCTCTGAGCTGTCTCCAAATGAGGTGGGGGTGGGGGGAGAAGGGAGATAATTACAGGGATCAATTCAGGCTGGGCACACAGGCCTGGAGGATGCGGGCGTCCTGAAGGGAGGAGATGATCCAGGGGCTCAGCTGCCTCCCTGGGCCCTGGGCAGCTTTGTTCCAAAGATCCTAGTCTCCCATGGCCAGGGGGACAGAGGGCCCAGAGGCCCAAGGTGAGTAGCTTGGAGAACAGCAGGCCCCAGCAGACGTGCTCATGCCTGCCCAGGGAAACCACAGGCTCTGCCTGGAGACAAGAGCTGGGGCTGGGAGACGGGAGGGGCTGGGGCTACTATGACTCTTGGAGGACACCGGAGTTACGTGCTGAGAAGCCTTCATGGTGCCCTCGGCTGCTCCAAGGAGGCAGGGAGGGGTTCCCTCTTGCCCCATCCACTCTTTGGGCCTGCTGAGAGCTCCCATCACCACCTGGGTTACGGAGAGCAAAGTCAAATGTCTTTTGGAAGATCATGAGGCTGGGACCAGGTGGAGCAGGTGAGTGAAGATGACACCATGGAGGGGCGATGCTGCCTGCTAGATGGCACCTCGCCTAACCCTGAGCCCTGTCTGCAGCAGCTCAGACAAGACTCTCACGGCTAAGACCCCAGGCTGTACATAAAGTGGGAGGCTCAGGGCTTGGGTCCTAATTCCCTGGAAGGGAGGGGCCCTGCTCAGCTCCAGTCTCTGGCCCGGAGGCATCCTCCCATGGCCCTGAACCAGGACTGCTGACTCTCCCGTGTGGTGTAGTGAAAAGAGCCTGTATGAGGAGCTGTAAGATCCAAGCCCTGGTTTTCACCAGTTACCAGCTTGGGCAAGTTACCAGGACTTGGGTTATCTTGTATGTAAATGGTGGGGCGGACGGGGTCCTGATGCTTATCCCTCAGGGTTTTAGAGAATGGATGAAATATTTAGCAGTGTCCTGGCCTGAAGGGCCATTTATGAACCCTGCTGTCCACCCACCCACCTACCTGTCCTCCCTTCTTCCTTCCTTCCTTCCTTCCTTCCTTCCTTCCTTCCTTCCTTCCTTCCTTCCTTCCTCCTTCCTTCTTTTCCTTCCTCCCTCTCTTCCCTCCCTCCCTTCCTTCTTGTGCATTTTGGTTTAACGTTTATTAAGCAGCTACAATGCACCTACAATAAGTCAAGCACTGGGTAGACCAAATGAGAAAGACAGGTAATTGCCTCAAGAGTTCTCTGTCATGGCGGGGGAGCAGTCACACACACCAAAGGGCAAGAGTGACAGTAGGGACAGCTCTAAGAATCGTGGAAGCACAGAAGATAGGCATTTATCGTGTGTGTGTGTGTGTGTGTGTGTGTGTGTGTGTCTAGAAGCCTTCCTGGAGAAGACAATGCCCATACTGGGTCTTGTATAATCAATCGGTCAGCAAAGAAGGGGGAAAGACCATTTTAAGAAGAGCAGCAGAAACCAAGACCCCAGCGTCATCAGCTGCAGTGTGAATAAGGGAAATGATAGCCGTGTCGTGGCGCTGAGGCCAGAACACCTAGAACGATAGCTGGGGCCTGGTGGGCCCTGTGGTCACTTCATAGGCTTCCTTCTGAGGTCATGGGGCACACAGGGGTGACCCCATCAGTCCTAAAGTAGAAGGAGCCAGATTGTAGCTCTCTGGGCCCCGAAGGTTGAAGAGGGAAAAAGGCAAGAAAGAGGGTTAGGGAGACTGGCCTCCATCTCGGCTCTCCTCTCCCAGAGTCACCACTCCCTAGGCAGTCTCTCTTAATAGTCACCTAGAGGGCTGGTGACCTCAAATCTGGTGAGAACAGGTGATTACAGACAGCACAGACTAAGTCTCGAAGAGGCTTGTACTGCAGGAAACCTGCCATGCTAGGGTGGAAAGGAAACCAGGAAAGAGAACTCAGACCAGTCATCTTTATCTGGAAACACAGAGGGCCAGCTCTCCTGGGGTCAGGAGGGGCAGCAGACAGGACCCAGCAGCCACCCGAGGGAGCAATGCTGAGGGCAGGAGAGGAAACTCTGCCGAGTGCCAGAGACCTGGAAGCAGAATGAGAAGAAATGAGAAGCAGGAGGAAGACCTGATCTGTGAACGAGATGCTGCCCAGAGGTCCCTGGTGCCGAGATGCTGGACCAAGAAACAGCTCTCGCCAGGAACACATGGAACAAAAAGCCAGAGAAGAGGCAGAGCCCAAGTGCTCAACCATCGAGAGATCAAAAGAGCCCAGTTTTCTTTCTCGTGAACACGAGACTCTGCTGTCCATCCACCAAGGGGAGAACAACTCTGAGGAAAAATGCCCGGAGGATATCCAAGAGGGTAGAAATGTGGACGGGCTGGAGGGAAAGGCGGCCAGTGAAGGCCAAGGGCCGCTGTGTGTATGTGCAACTTGTATTCTACATAAAGGCACCTCCCAAGGGGTCAGAGGTGGGGCTGGCGACCCTGGTTGTGTTCCCGTCCTCCTGGAGGTGCCATCTTCTCAGCCAGCTGCACACCGGCTTCATCTGACCAGAGGGCCACCTGTATCTAATGCGCATAGGGGGCCATACATGTTGGGGGTGTCTCTGAGCAGAAGCCCCAGCCCTGCACCTCTCTCAAAGGGTCCCTCCCCACCTACAAAGGAGGAAATACAGAAAGGCGACAGCCCCTTTGCCTCGACATACTTTTATCTCTAACACAAGATAAAGTTCTGAGTTCAATGCCCTGAGTTCTGGAAAGACACCTCTGGAAGGGAGTGGAAATTCATGTTTAAATTCAACAGCCCAAGAGGGAAGGCTGAGACTCACAACCTGAGCAAGTACTCTATGGGCTCCCTCTGCCTGCTGGCCACCAGACGGAGGGGTACTCCTAGACCTAGAAGGAGCGGGGAGACCGCCCCCAGATGGGATGGGTCCACTACAAGCCTGGAAAGTGCCCACAGGGCCCTTGGTCTGGAGCGCCAGTGCCTGGTCCCTTACATCCAACCATCTCGACTGACTTCGTGGACACTGGGTCTAGGCTTCTCCCTTGGAGCCCTGACCATCTCTGGAAGGAGAGGACCAGGATCTGATCTGCTCAGAGAGTGGTGACTGGAACTCCATACTCTCCCCTTGGCCTAATAGTCATGGCCTCAGTCTATATCTTCAACCTAATCAATGACAGGGATTCTGTGTTCCTGGCAGACTGAGCTCTCAATGGCCCCAGGCCACCACTGGGCCTTCTGACCAATCCACCCGTGCTTATGTTGCTCCTCTTGACCAGAAGGTTCTACCATCCCTTCTCCCACTCCCCAAATCCAACCCATCCTTCACGACACAGCTCAGGCTTCACCTCTTCCTCTAGACAGCCTTCCCTGACCCCTAAGCCAATAATAGTCCCTCTTCTGAGTGGCCCACTTACTGAGAGATTAGCACACGGCATGCCCTGTTGCTAATTAGAATTTGGTAGTGAAGTCCTGGCTCCTCGTCCAGACTGCGGCCTCCCCAGCTCAGTCCCTTGGGGCGGCGTCAGTGCTCATCTCTGCACCGTAGTGGGTACTCAGCAAATGTCTGCTGATGAGGACTGAGCTCTGGAGTTTGGAATGTCCCAAGTCAGGGAAGGAGAGGACGAAGATTAGGGTTGGCACCCACCTCTAAACCCCAAGAAGGCGAGAACGTGGACTTGCTTGATACAGGCTTGTGCCACATTGGTCACAGTCCCGGGCCACCAGGCTGAGCACTGGAGAGCCTGAGCTGGCCAGTTAGGCTGGGTCGGGTTGGTTTTATTTTAGGGCTGAAGGCTCCAACTCCCCAGGAAATTCAATTTAGACCAAGAAAAATGTGACGCAGTGCTGGGCAGAAATCTGCGGTGGATTAGGGAGCCAGGCTTCAGGTCCCTCTGAGTGGGTGGGGAGAGAACACTGCGGGTGCCAAGGGTGTGGGGGCTTGGCCACCTGCCTCAACCAGAGCTGCCTCGAGTCCCCTTCACCCCATCTTCATCTTAAGTGGAGGAAGGAGGAGTTGACTTGTTCCCTGGCTTGTTCCCTGGCCCTACCAGCAGGGCCCCCAGGGGCAGCGCGGTGGCCTTGCTGTTCTGTCAGCGCTCAGCAGGGAGCGTGGGGGATTCTGGTCTCAGATTCAGGCGTCTGTGGGGTTTTGGCTGGGTCTCCTGCGGTTTGGGCTTCCTGGGAAGCAGCCTCATTCTCCCAAGGCGGCAGAGCCAGGCCTCCTCCTGTTATGAAAGCCACATTGTCTGGCCCAGGCTGGGGAGGGGGCTCTCTGGGGGGGCTTCAAGTTACAGCCCAGGGCTCAACCCTCCCACTGGCCCACCTAGCTCTCGTCCCCTGCACATTTAGCCCCTTCTCTCCCTGTGAGGGCTGAGAATGGGTTGCATAGGGGAGAGGATCTTGGAAAGAGGCAGTGGAGCAGAGAGCAGAGAAAATGGATAAGCGGAGGAAGAAAGCAGGGAAATGGGAGGGTGAGAAACAGAGGAGGGGTGAGAGGGGAGAATGTACCACGATGAGGAGAAAGAGCCTTCCTAGCCCCCTGCCTCTAGGTCTCTCTAGATTGAAGGAGCCCAGTTTCTGAAGGAGCTTATCCCCCAGAAGGCCCTGCTCCAGGCACCCACAGAGAGGAGAGAATCTGAGGGTTAGCAGGGATGTGCAGCGACACATCAGTGTCACCTATGTGCTGGCCCTTGGCCAGGCATCTCCCACTCGTCTTCACTCTGCTGGAGGCCACCTGCCACCTCTACAACCCTGGGCATCCAGGGTGCCAGTGTCCTCACCAGGTAGACCTGGGTTGCTGAGATAGGCCTCTCCAAACAGGCAGACAAGCCCATAAGGGCGGATGTGGAGACCTAGGCCAGAGAGAGGAAGGAACTCATCCAAAGCCATGCAGCGAGTTAGTGTCAGAGGCCTAGGACCAGACCTTCATTACTCAGACGCTCAAAGAGGGGACAAAGAGAGAGTCAGGGTGGGTGAGAGGAAGCTGAAAAAATTAGATTCACCTGGAGCTGGGATTAAAGTCATGAAATCTGGGCCTATAGTTCTGCACCTCACTCCCCGGCCCTTGAACAAACCCCAGAAGTTCCCAACTTGTCTCTGACTCTGTGTTCCATTGTGAGCCTCCACTCACATCTACACAGTGAGGGGGACTGAGAACCACAGCCTGCAGGACTCCCACCCTCAAGGGATCACAAACACTCCCAAAGTAGGGAAGCTCCCTCAAGAATCCTGGAGACGTTACAGACCCCATAAGTTGGGGGAAAGATGGGAGGGGAGGAAGGGGAGAGGGAGAGGGAGAGGGAGAGAGGGAGAGAGAGAGAGAGAGAAAAAGAGAGAGAGAGAAAAAGAGAGAGAGAGCGCGCGAGAGAGAGCAGTGGAGACTGGCCAGGCCCGGGTGGGGAGGAAGGGGAGCAAGTGGACATGGCAAGGAGGGGAGGGGCCGGGTCCTGTGGCTGCTTTAAGCGTACAAAAGTTTTCGGGAAGCGCTGGGCTCTGGTTGGGTTGGGGGAAGGGAAGGATAGACTCAGACAACCCTAAACCCCTCCCGAGGCCCCCATAAATATTTACACACTGGGCAGAAACAGTTGGGACACGAATCCCAGACGGACAGACAGATACTGTGGGGGGTGTGTGTGTGTGTGTGTGTGTGTGTGTGTGTGTGTGTGTGTGTGTCTGGTGTTGGGAGTTGAGGGGAGTTGAAGCCAACTTGGCGCAGCAGGCTGCCTGCGTTAGGGCCCTGCCCCCATCACCCCAGTCCTGGGTTCTCCTTGGTCCGGATCCGCGATAGTCAGACCCCTCGCACCACCTCCACTTAAGTTCCCCGAAAACATTTCCTAGAGTCTTAGGGAGGAAAGGGGAGAATTAACACCCCTCTGCCCCCAAGCCACCTACCGTGCTCTCTACTCCCGGTCCTACCTGGGCCCGGTGCTGTGCTGGGGGCTTCATGGGACGCGTCGCAGTGAGGGGGGCTCTGGCCACTCACCTGGGACATCGGCTCAGAACCTGAAGAAAACAGGGCTCAGCTGGCGGGGCTGACCTCTCCACCCCGCCCCACCCCGCGCGTGCGGGAAATGGGGGACTGGCAGGGGGTGATCCAGCCGCAGGCGCGCTCCTCCTTCGGTTCTAGAGCGGCCACCGACTAACTTACTCGTGCAAGCTGTGCGCTCCTCTCTCACACCGCCGGGATCACCGCGCGGGGCTTGCCATGCGCGCCAGGCCAGGGCGCCCCCGCGGAGGGGCCACGCGGCTCCCTGGTGCCCGCCCCGCACCCCCTCCCCTCTCACACGCTCAATTCTCCCATTTCAGCGCCAGCTCACGCCGCGCGCCCCCTTCCTTCTTCCTTTTCTCCCTCCAGCCCCCTCGCTCCTCCCCTGCTCGCCTCTCCCTTCCCCTCTTCTCTGACCCACCCCCTCTCCTCCCCCTCCTCGCCTTCTCC